GTTACTGCACTGAGGTGACTATATGTCATTTTTGTGTGGAACTTAAACATAACTGTACAGCCGCCGGCATAATAATTGAACAGGAAGATAAGTTTCTTTTACAAATATAATATAGAAAATTTTGAAACCTTACAAGGCTTTAGGTTACAATTAATGGCTTTACTTTACATACTTTACAATCATGTATACTATACTTTTCTTTTAACACGCCCTTGTTGTTTGTAAAAATAATGTATATCACAATTTTATTGCCAGTTTGAAATTTGAAAATTCAGAGATTTGTATACTTAAGCTTCAATATGTATTACAGTATTCATTTAGAATTAAGTAAGCAATACTTAAAAGGACATTTATTTAAAAGATTACTTGTTCATATACATGTATTAAAAAACTTAAGATCATCCAATAGTCACTGTTCAAACAAAACAAGAATAAAGAAATAAAAAATAAGCAACTCTCTCAGTCCAAAAATTGTTTTTAATCGTAGAACGATAACAAAGACTGCATGGTAGTTAGCTTGGAACATGTTTCGAATTTCAAACATTACTGTAAAACATTAATTTTGTCTAAATGTATCTCATGATGATATTTGCATTTTAATTATCTGTTCTGCTGATGCTACTATGTAGCAATTGTTTATTATGTTTTACACTGTTGGAAACATAAGCTATTGGACTAACATTGCAAATAGTTTTAGAAATTTAGTGTGCAGTGCATAAATGTTTCGATTGTCAAAGTATCTCCATTTTAGTGCTTGAAACTGCTATATGTTAATCAATTCGCCAACTTAAACGATAAAATATTCACTTTAAATGCTTGTTTAGTTGACACATATTATACCTAAACATATATTCTCATGGATATTACTATCAGAATAGTGTTCAACCCAATAGTGGACTCTTTTCTCTACATTGTTAGTGGAAAAGAGTAAACAGTTTTCATCCTAGATTGAAATGAGTAAAACAAATGTGTAATGTGAAAAATTCAACAACAAAACACTGATTTGGAAGACATGGATTTTTAAAAATATATTCAAGAAAGATGCTAGAAAATGTAATATCTCCTACGAATTCTTACACTGGCTTTAGCTGCACTCAGTCCTCAACAATAAAAGTATTAGAATAAAGGATCCCGAGAGATCAGAAAAATATAATAACATAACGATATTATGTGATAAGGTAAGAAAGTTGATAAATAGAAAAAAAGGGAATTTAAAAAAGAAAAGAGAGGCAAATTAGGAAACCAAAATGAAAGAGGAAGTAGGTATTGAATTGTTAAAACAATCAAGTATTCATATAACTCTGTTAAAATATTCTTCGTAAAGATTGAAAATTAATGAACTTCAGTGCAATTATACACCCACTCTCAGCATATGAGATTAATCGAGAATCTGATGCCCATTGATGACATTATCAAATAACGACTCTAATATAATGTAAATTTGTATATGGTAATAAAATACTAATATTAATTTGATTTTTTTTTGCAGAAAGCGTTAGGGTCGACTTATCATTTTTGGCATGAATTACGTCAAATGGCGTCGAAAAAGGAAATATGATTGAAGCTTACCTCGGATGTTCTAAATTAAAAGCAACACCAAGAGTCAAAACTATCCCACCTGTTGGAATAAAGAGATGTATAGACTCCAGTAATTGGAACCCATTAAGTCGCCTCTTACGATACGATATATTGGACAAAAAATAATTAACTAACCAGTGTTTATTCGACTCATTACAAAATGCAGAAGACTACAGAATTATCTGTGAAAAAAAGATTATCGAGATTGGTTTATACAGAATTTATTTAAGTTCGATTGTGTAGGAAGCTATAAGCTTATAGACACACTTTCGAATCCGTTCATGGAACCAACCAGTACTGAGCAATGTGTGTAAAGTTTCTCGCTTAATGGAAAAACGACTTGCCCCTGACAGGGTTTGAACTCATGCGGCTAGCGATCATTATATTACTAGTCCGACGCGTTAACCACTCGGCCATGCCGCCACACTTTTAAGATTGATTATCTTATTTGATTTCACAGTTATTGGTTTATCCCGCTTCCATCCTTCCCCGTCCTTGCCTCTCTTTTCCAGTTTTTGAATCGGTGCCCTTTCCAACGTGACTGTATCGTGCCGGGAGCTGCGTTTTGTGAACGTTACATTGCCTTGTTTACCTTTGTTTTCATCGTTTTTAGACGATTTTCAGTATCTCTGCTATCTCGTTTATCTCGGTTGAATTCAACTGAAATTGTCTCATTTTGTTTCAAAATGTTCGAGTAGATGTAATTGTTCTGTAGGTAGTTGCATCAAGGATTATTGTATTGTCCGTTATATTTTTTTATACATAATAATACAAAGTTAATTACCTTCTTAACCCACTGGTTCAAAAAATGTAAATACACAATTTTGAAACTTGGCTTATGTGATATCAAACTCACATTTTAGTATAAGTTGGTTGAGCTATAATGTGCGCGGTTTCTGTCCCCACTTTCTTATTACATCTGAGCGTTAACGATACATCCTGAAGGCTATTCATGAAAATGTACGAATGCCACGTGGGTTCTTGTTATTGAATATTCATTAAATTGCAAAGAATATGGCATATTGTAAAACTTATTTTGACATTTACCTGTACTCGCAACATCTAAACTTGGATTGTCATAATGTCACTTTAAATATCAGAGTTACGAGGAATGAAACTAACGATAAAGACATATTTGCATTTATTGCATTTAACAAGAGCTTTTATCATAATTGCAACAATCTAAGTAAGTTTCACTACTTTACTCAACAGGTCAACGGTTATATCTCTCGGTTTACAGATCCAAAATTTGATAATTTGTACTTAAGAATATAAATTACTGAACAGTTTCTTTTAGCCCGAATGAATTTAAACAGATGCATTCCTTTTCTAAATGTTAACAAAATAGTTATTGGGGATATTGCTTGTAGACTTGATCTTTAGTTATATATTTTAAGTATAAATAATATAGTTACGTCCACGAAAAACAAAACGAACTATAATGCCGTTACTTACAAAACAAACGCATACAAACGAGAAATTTAGCCTTTTATTCCTATATTTCTGTTATTTATTTATATGTATCAACTGAGGAAGCTAAATAAAGCGAAACATGTTTTGATACTTAAATTTGTGTTGGTTTTTGATCCAATTGTCCTATATTTCTGTTACAAAGTTATAATAAGTTTGGACCAAAGAACCTTGTTGCATGCGCAAACGAGATGTCATTTTTAATAGTGACGAAAACTGATGGCATATTATATTCAATATTGATTCCTTCCATTATTCTTACAGATTGATCATTTATTTGCATGATCACCATTGTATAAGCGTCATAATATTCACTCAAACAAGAAATATATTTTCATACGGATCTTTTTGATCTTGATATATCATTTCACGCCGTATGAAAAACCTTTCTCTAACTCATTTCACGTTTCACACGCGCATTTCGGTTTAGAAATATCGTTCGTTTAATACGAACAAAAAAAGTTTCGCGAAAGAATGATTTCTATTGCTTTTATAATTAAAAATATTATTCGCACGAAGTGGGTTGGATTGTATGCGTAAATAGTTTGTTAATAAACATTCCGGTGGGATTTTGATAGAGTTGACTAAGTTTAATTCATCAGATGCCATATCATCAGTTACCTGGCGAGGTCAATAGTTAACCTGTGCAAATAAGGTGCATCCAATTCAGTCATCACAATGTTAGTGTGAACATCTTGCAAATAGAATTATGTGTCTCGTTCGAGGGTTAGATTAGTTTAAATCCATGTTCTGTGTCTCCATTGAGCAAAATACTAGTACCTGAATTTGACTGATTCAATTTTCGTTCCAATATCTTGTTATTTTTAAAAAATCAAACAGGATGCTGATGTTTTTAACTTGTTTTTATCTCAAAATATTCTTCATATCTGAACCCATCTGATTTCTGATCAGAGAAAAAATATGTTTAAATCTTTTATTGAAAACAATTCTGTGACATAGAATAGTTCCGTTTAAGCTTTGATCTAGTACACATTTTATTTAATTGGACATTAAATATTGAATTATGTGCACATTTTTTTTTATTTTCACGATGCGACGGAAAAGACGAATATTAATTGATCAAATATTGGTGTATAGTAGCATTTATTTCGTACATTGTACTTAATGTTGCTTTAAAGATGAAATGCTATAATAGCTATAATCGAAAACATTAAACAATCGTTGAGTTTGTTTTGTGTATAGTTTGCAACATACGCCTAATTGCACCGACTTGAATAATAATTACTTGATTTTCAAAACCATAAAGGTCATTTAAATTGACTTATCCCAATTGACAAAGCAATTACAACCTAAATGATTACAAGGGTCAGGTTGGTTGTTTATTTTTATTAAATTAGAAAAAAATGAAAAACACATTAGAAATAGAGTAGTGAATGTTTCTCCCAGTCAATGCAGATATTTTTGGTCCGAGTCCCAATAGGGTGACGGTCATGTTTCCTCATATGAAGGCAGCACTAGGTCGTGAAAATATGCTGACTCAAGAGTAGTATTAAGCTTTCACTACAATCAATCAAAACAGATATGTTAGAATAAAAAAACAGATATGTTAGAATCACACAGCACATTTCTCCAGTTCAAACTCGTAAACAAAAGTTTCATTCAATTTTAAACACATATTTATTTCCCAGAAATAAGAAAATATCAAGAAAAGATTAAACATTACGAAATAGACAATAACATATTAAACTCTCATTGCGTTTACCATTTGGTATCACCGGGTATACCATTTGGTATTACATTATATACCATTTGGTATTACAGTGTAAACCATTTGGTATTAACGGGTGTTCCATTAGGTATTACAGTGTAAACTCTTTAGTATCACCTGGTATATCATTTTGCATGACAGTGTGTACAATTAGGTATAACAGTATAAACCATTTGATGTCACCGTGTATACCATTAGTTTTCACCATAAGTCAAACACAATTAGGTATTACAGTATATACCATTTGGTGTCACCGTGTATACCATTAGTTTTCACCATAAGTCAAACACAATCAGCCTTTATAAATCTGTGAATAATAAACATATAGACACCTATCAATTAATTATACATTTCATTCAACATTTCATTCACATTTGTTATCATAATTGAAATCATTGTCTTACATATAACAGTCTAACCTTGATGATCAATAAATTTATAGCGAAAATAGCGATAACAATGTATAAATATACATACACAATACTCGAACACTTCTTTATATGTTTTTGTTTTAATTTTAACACATTGACTCAGTTCAAATCAGAATGTGTTTGAGCTTTTACAAGCAAATATTGTGCCTTCACTTTTTGTCAATTTCCAAATTTTTCACAAGTTATTTTTTTGGGTATTTTATACCATTGCATCTGATATATCAACAATAATTTAGATGTGTTAACTTGTAGTTCTTTGCAACAGGTCTCCGAGAGTGAACATATACACTTTCAGCGGCTCTATATCAGTTTTGGCAATCTACATTGCTCTTCTCTATCGGCAATCATATTCTGTTTTGACAGACAATAGTGTTGTGATCCAAAGGCTTCAACAATCAGCTGCACTGTCTTTATTGTATTGTTTTTAAATTATTTAAATTCGTTCATTATCAAGTTCTTTCAGACTAGTCATTTGACTAGTCATTTGATAATTTGATAGATTATCTTAAGTGCTTGCTTATCACACAGGTAAAACATTAACGTTTCTGATAAAGCAGGTTTTTTAGTTTATTTATCAATAAAATTTATTTGCGTAACAATTTCAGTTTCTGTTCTCTCCAAACATTCCTGGACTAGGTAAATGATTCACATGCTGTTGTAAGCCATGTATGAACATCCTTGGTAACGTTGGTCTCTGGCTCGCCTGGGTCAGAGTACTCTCAGTTTGTGGTCTATAGTACAATGCATCTAGGTTGGAAATGATGCCAGCTGCTTGTGGGTGGTATGTAAACCAGTACGGGTTGGTTTGGAGCATGCGTTGGACAGCTGCGTAGTTTCCAGCTTCTGCTAAGAGTTCGAGCCCGACTGCTGTTTGTCTTTTCCATTTTGTCCTGCAAAATGAACAAAATGTAAGTTTTAAATATAAAGTGTAAATAAACGTTTTGTAATCAATTTTGTCTCCTCTTTTTATGAAATAAGTATGGTTTATATCACAATGGTAAATTGAATTGAATTTGTACTGGATAGTTGAAGATGTTTCTTTTTCAATGAAACCATACAAAAGTGAGATATTGGGTTGTTGGATATTTAATGTTTTGTACAAATATATTCTAACAGAAATTATTATTATACGTTCAAATAATAATGGATATCTAAATTATACAATTTGTTGAAGGAGAGAAAACTGTTTGTCGTTTCTATTTTGTCCTTCAAAAATAACCAAAATGTAAGTTTTTTAATGTAAAAGTGTACATAACATTTTTGTAATATTTGTTATTAAATTAGTATGATTTATATCACTTCGCTAAATTTAGTTGAATTTGTACTTGATAGTTGTCGATGATTCGTTTGTAAAGAAATCATACAAAAGTGAGATATTGGATTGTTTTATATTTACTGTTTTGTACAAAAATACTCTAGCTGAAATTATTATTTTACGTTCAAATAATAATGTATATCTAAATTATACAATTTGTTAATGGGGAGGAAAGATTTGAACGAATGCAATGAAACGATTCGACGAAGAAAAGATTCTCCGAAAACATTGACAAATACATGTTCACACTGATTTGTCTTACTTTTTTTATTTCAACTCTATTTATGCCTAACGAACAGATTAGCTGTTACATGCATAGAAGTTTTATCAATGGAACAGAACACAGAGCAAGTAAGGTTAACTACAAGCCGTCACATAATTGCACAACACTTCTAAAAATATGTGCTTAATTAAAACAAAAAAAGTAAGTTCATGAAAGGAAAACGGATTGTAGAATTATTTGCACAGTCATAGTAGATCTGAGCAATTATTCAAATGAGAAGATAAGAGGGGATTGTGAGGCTGATTCACAAGTTGTTACAGGCTCCGTAATCATATTTAATGACCTGAATATTTGAACTATGACATCATTGCAAGACCACCAACGGAGTGGGCGTTCTACTCGATAAACTAATCTCACATTAATTCTTTCCACTTTTCCCCAAACAACCACCCTTTTTGCCGGCTTATAAATCTTTTTATATGCCCAGTTTTAAGAACAAGTGACGTATGTTTAATCGATGCAAACACGATGCTTGCAGATTAAGTACTCGATGTGGCAGCTGGAAGGTTATTTGGTACAATTGGCGCTGTACCCAGAGACCGGTATTGGTCTAATTTCTCTATAATATGCGGCAATTTCCTGATGAAAGGAAGCCCTTAACCAGCTGTTAATATAGAGACTGGATTTTCAATATATACAAATTAAGGCTCATTAAATTGAATGTGCTCTTTTCAGAAAAGGTAAGAGTACAATTTGGTTCAAACCACCGATTGGCTTTTTACAAAGTTGTTTCCCATGTAAATTCTAATACAAAAATGTCTTTCAGTCGATAGATTCAAAGCGGTAATTTGCATATGCTCATATGAGTTTTATTGGTTAATTTTGCCACTACTTTGCCTCTATTTTGTCGGTCGGTTCATTTACCTGTTTGTATTCAACGTTATAAAGATATGGTACTTGAAGAAAAAGAGGCACATGATTTCATGTATATTAATAGAAATGCATTAAACATTAGTTACCAGATGAACCACCTGACAAACTATTTTAAAACAGCAAATGCTTAAGAAAAGATCTTGCAGTATGCTAGACATTTGATTAGCGATATTTGCAACATTTTCTATGCATATCAAACAACTTGTGCAGAGTTTTTAAATTAAAACTATCTTTTACCATTTTGGCGGGAGTTTTGCGGAAAAAAATAAACAACAAGCATTTTGCGAAAAAAATAAGATTGTATGCTTTTCAAAATAACTCTGTTACTTTGAAACGATTGCTTACTTTCTCTAGAACCACAAAATGAAATAAAGTTTGATTTTGCATGTGTCAATAGTTCAATTATATCATCGACTTTTGTGTGCCAGACCTACCCTAGCAAACTAGTTCTTTTGAGGGTAGTTTTAAAACTTAGTAACTGGTCGAAATCAATTATTAATCCATTGGATTGTGTTGTTAGAAAGAATATAAGTATAAAAAATAATAATGTATATCTCTGTTTTGCTTAAAAAATTTATGAACGGGAATCATACTGTAACATATATATAAAAATCATACCTTCTGTTTTGATACCAGGTTTTAACTTGGGTATCGGTAAGGTTCAGTTTTGCCGCCAATTCCATTCTGTCTTGTACGCTTAAATATTTCTGTCTTTCAAACGTCTTCTCTAGGGAATTTAACTGGTGGTCTGTAAATGCCGTCCTAGCTTTCCTTGGCTTCTTCGGTTTTAGAAGGTGTGGTGGGCTATCTCTACCAGATGTGTTATGTGACTCAGAATTTTCTGAAATTTTTATAATATCACAAGATAAGAATTAAATGTTTACTATTTGTTCTCCTAATTTTTAAAATTGCAATAACTTTGAAATGCTTATGTTTATAACACAAGGGCATTTCTTTCTATAATAATGACTGAATGCGGTAAACTTTACATATACTTTTTTATATGTGCAATTTATTTTCATTATTTTTTTTAAATCTTTTTTATTCTATTTTCTTTTTACTATATTGTCATTCATATTTTATGGGTGGGGTGGGCGATTGGAGGGGGTAGGATTTGTAAGGGTCTAGAGAATTTTGCAAAGTTAAATGAAGTTTAATACATTGTCATGCTAATAAATTTATTTTATCAATGATTGTTTTGATGTCATGAGTTTACAAGCAAGCATTTTTATAATGTTTTTTTTTCTGTGTGTGTTTTTTTTTTTCAATCTGGAATTTGTTGTAATAAGAGGTATTACGAAATGATGTAGCCGTGTACATTACCATCCATTCAGCCCGCTCCTTTATTGCGTTACTAATGAATTAATCAAGTATAAAATATGAAATAATTTAAATGTTAAAATAGTTTACTTATAAATAAAATCTCTATCCTTTGATATAACGACCTCCCACATTTTACGAAATCCCTGGCGAGAAGGATAATATGAAAATTTATGCAATATCAGTTCTGTATCAATTTAGTGCAGTTAGAGTTAAATTTTCAAAGTCTTGCAATACGTTTTGTTTCTTCAACAGTTCTGACAATGTTAATGTTCAATAGCATCACAGTGTTATACTTAATTGACAAGCAAGCAAAAATGCATATCTTGACTATTTTCTTTTTTCAATTTACAGCGCTGTTCCATCTTGACTGTGTTTGTACAATCAAGTTAAAGATCTGCACCGGCATATTGTTTCTGGTACAAACTCAACTTAGATTACCTATTTTTGAAACAGTATATACAGATTTTATTGATTTTGATATTGTCGCATGGACATTGATGGTAAACTATCTAAACATTTTTCTTGTGATATTAAAACTTTGCTATCACTATCAAGTATGTATTGTTTGTCAAACGTAGGATTGAAAAATGAATAAAAGGTCACTATCTAAAGTACTTAAATCTTAAATAACTACAGCAAAAGGAGCAGCAATGTATAAAACCAATTAAGAATTAACAGAAAAAAACAAACTTATATATAAAGAAGTAACCAGTAAGTGAAAAAACCATCCGTTTAAGGATAATTCGGGATATAAATAGATGTTAACGCCGATGTATTTAGAAATTTGAATATTTGTACCCACATTCATACCTCAGACGATTTGCTCCTTAGTGTTTATATGAAAGCATTTAGCAGAGGATGAAGTAATGCTTTTTATACCCCAACAAACGCTACGGTACGCATGTTTGAAATCTATTTAACCAAACGATATTTTTGAACTGGGTGGCCTAACGTACTTTTGCTAAAAAAGGGGAAAGGAAATAAACAAATATCTGAAGAAATAGAAGGTTTTCACGTGTGAAAGATACTGAAAAGGCGTATATGTATGGGAATTTCACAAATTAGAAAGTGACTCATTATTCACATGTAAATCTCTTATACTAATGATTATTAGTAGGGTAACATTTGGGACCAAACCTTACACATGTAGATATAAATTAACTCGGGTGCAGTTTTGTTTTTAAAATTGCAGATTTTGTTTGATTAAAGGCAATTTATGCCTCAGAAATCCATTATGTTTTTAAAAATCTTTAGAATCGTCAAACATGTTTTAAAACTGTGTGATAATTGGATTAAGAGTATGTTAGATGTTTAACAACTGACGAAAATAGCGCTGAACTTGCAGTTATGTGTCGTAAAGGTAGCAAAGAAGTATTTTCAATTCAAAACACCAATTCAATATTATAATGATACCAACTTGCCAGCAGAGCAAAGAAAGCAAAAGATAGTTCATCATTACGGCATATGAATAATATTTTGGTGACTGTTACAAGATACATTTTTTTCTTTTTGAGAAAAAAAATATGAAAGCATATTAGAAGCCAATGGGCCTTAAAGTATATCTTTGAAACATAATGACAAATGTATCGTCCTGCACGCCCCACTAGCACCGTCTTAAACAATATTCAATCTTTCAATTTTTATAGATATGCAGATTTAAATACAAATATTAATTTGTCGTTTATTCTATTCTCACAATTTAAGAATCACATTATTATGATTAATTTGCATATGTTTGATGCGTATAAGCTGCAATTAATGTTAAGTGGAACTTAGACCGTCAACACAATAGTGCATTTGTACAAAAGTTTGCTTTACCTTTATACGGAGAGCACGACTTTCCCGCAGTTTTAATAAGAAAGAATCACATTAATGTTTTATTTGTGTCAGGCATGTCTGTGTAGAGAAGTGAGTTAAATTTCTAAAAAAAAACAATGGATAAATCTATAAACCATCGGTCGATATTTCAATCACTTCACAAAAACCAGTGCTTAAAAATGATTATCAAAATGTAAAGCGTAGTTAAAAGTTTTGCTTTGGTAAGTAACAACGCATCTCTACTGTTTTTCATTTAACTTGTCAGTCGATATTTCTAACCATTCAAATACACCATTGCTTATATGGTATACATTTCGAAACTGATGAAATGCTTTTATTGTGTATATGGACAAAATGTATTGGCCAGCAAGTTTTTCGTTCATGTCATTGTTTATTTAGTTTCGTCCATCCAATATATCATGTTAACATTCATGACATTGTACTTTTTATGCCATTATATGTGTATGCTTGTTAAATCACGAAAAACTTGTAGTTTAAATGATAAATAAAAGTTCTTTTTCTTTTTTAATTATATGTATATATGACGCGCATTTTTTCTTCATTTGAAGAATAACTTTTATCAGTTAGTATTATTCATTTACTAAATATCTATTTTGTTCAGTAGGTGGTATGGCTTTTGTCAATTCTTGAGAATAATTCAATTAAAAATAAGGAAATGATAACAATAATGAGAAATCTTTTTTTAAGTTCAATTATAATAAAAACAATGTATTATATTTTCAATTAGATGTCAAATTATTTTTGTTTAATTAGAGGACCAGTTCTTATTGTTCAATAAGTCAGTATAATTCAATGATTTTTACACTAATACGATAATCTTGAATTTTCTCATTTGCATTAAATAAAAACTTTATGCAGCCTAAATATATTGCATTTGGGACTCGAGTGAGGGTTTTGACATGACTTGACTAACTGTAACTTTTCGATGTTAATGTTCAATTTTATGTAAGTCAAGACTATAAGCTTGTGTTCAAAATTTCAGATAATTTCTCCGTTTTCCAGAATAATTATTCTTATTGTGAAAAGTTCGTTGCAACGCTTTACACTTAAACCAAATGAGAATAGTATAACGTACGATTCTCAAATTATTTTTGAGAATGTTCCTTAATAATAATTTGTGTATCTTCCATTTTAAGTGTTCCAACTAATCTGTGTAAGAAATTCAAATTTTATGTTTTTATGTTACATCGCAAAAATGACTTTATTTTACTTTTTATCATACATCGTTAACGTAGCCGTTGATTATGTGCAGGCTTTTCCCGCGCTTCTTAAAAAATCTTATAATGGATTATTTTATGAACTTGTCATCAATAACAGTTTGAGTTATTATTTAAAAAATACTTTTGAAATTGGCCAAACCTCTTCAAGTTTACAAGGCCTATGTAGGAGTAGATCAAATTATTGCTTAATGTTTGCACTATTTTCGTTTTAAAAAAAACTAAATTGACACATATGTACCTTTCCCAGAAAAGTTTTCACGTATAAATGTAACTAACAATTTTATGCCTTTTTTCTATAATTATGTTTTTTGTAATTGTACTGGTTGTATATGCCTTAATGCATACTAAAATGTTTTTGCTAGCGCTGCTGTTGTTGCTGTTTGTGATATTGGTATTTTAGAACACTAAATCTTGGTTTTTATAAGTATGTTATATTATCAATATTTTTTAAAAATAATTGTTTTAGCTGACCATCCTCTTTTTAAGCGTAGATTGCCAAACTATGTTATCTGACCGTTTTTACCCTTTTACACTAGGTGACGCCCCATATGCACCTCTATTCTTTCCCCAGTTTCCAATTGACAAAAAGAAGACCCTTTAAATACTAGTTTATCATATTCAGTAATTTTGTCTTGATTTATTGCATGTAATGCGGTTTTTGAATAATAAATTCCTTTCGTTTTTTTTTAAGTTTAACACTTTATTAAATGTCTCGTTAAAGTGTTTTGTCGCATTTACATAATTACACTTTCCATATCACATCACCGATACGAGAGATCATAACGACGGTGTCCTACAATTAATTGTACAAACACCTATAAATTTAACGTTTTCGTTTAAAATATTAATATTTTCGTTTAAAATGTCGCTCCGTAATTTAACACGACTCGTGACAGCCATTTTGTTTTATGAGTTTCTTCTGCTTTAGAAATGATAAATTGTGTCTCATTGTCGTACACCAATTAATAACCCATCCTACAGCATCATCTTTACCGTAAAAAAGGATAAATTTACAACTCGATCGTTTTAATGAATTTAAAACTTGCATTTCCTGTCAGCTTTTCTAAGGCAGTCTATTTTGGTTTTTTTTTGACATGACGGGACTGGAAATGACGGGACTAGATTTGTATACCATTTGATTTAGGTTTGCACCAATACCTTGTGTTTATTCCATCATCCATTGTTCCTAAAATTATCATTTTATTTGTGCAAAATGACCGATAAAGTGAAAAGCATACCCAAATCGCACATAAAATTGTACTCAATTCAATTCTAAGTATATTTCTTTGTTGTCCTTTGCAGATTATTCCATTTAAAGTGCTTAACTTGATCTATACCAGAATTTAAAATGTTATGTTTTTAGCCTTTTTGTCCTCTGTATATAAATAAGTATGTAAGACGCATACATTTAGAACAGTTCTAGAAATCTTTTATATGAAATGCAGGCGTTTTAATACAT